CTCTGCATCTCAATGGCTTTCTCCCCGAGAGTCCAACAGTGATAGCACTTCCTTGACACAAGAGTCTGAGGGATTTGTCGAGCTCAATATAGGACACAGACAGTGTCTCAATCAAGATGATGGATTATTGAGAGCAGTCATTTTAAGTGCAAAGCCAGAAGATGAGCTATAATGGGATTAAACTGTAATGGTGTCTCTCTTGTTGTCTCTGCTCCTCTCTTATTTTCTCTCTTTTCCACATTCTCACAAACACAATCACCTCACACTCACAGACCTCTACAGAAACTAAACCTAATCCCACCGCAGTCACCACTGACACGGTGTAAACACACTGGACTCCTGCAGACAGCTAATTTTTCCTCTTCACGTATCATCACTTATGGCTGCTATAAAAGTGGCATGAATCAGAGTTAGCAATTCAGCTAAAACAAAGCGACTCACAACAGTGTAAACGAGGGGACCGGAGGCCCAGACAGCATGTCATACATAGGAAAGCTCCCCGTTCCATTACTGCATGCAACGGTTGATTTTGAGCTCTTACTGCTGTATATCACCACCTCACTGGCTGACGAAGCACCAGCTGAGATAAGAGAAAGGAGGACAGGGAGGACTGGGCACAGAGAAAGATTAATCTGTTTTCCTGAAATGATATGGAGCACGGCAGCAGGGGCTTGTTCATACTTTGTAGTCCATCTAGGCTTATTGACCTCACTAGCACACAAAACTCAAAGGAAATTCAAGTGTAGAAAACGAGCATGTTGTGGTATAAGACCAAGTGTTCAGGGAGAGATCCATAGAGTTTAGGTATAATGACAAATTTGGATGATAAAATGTAATTTAAAAGTTTAAGTTTTGTTGTAAAAATAGAAGCCAAGACCATGTAACAGAAAAAAGAACAACCTTGTTTTTATGACTAAAGGCAAAAAACTGCAAAATGAACAGCATGAAACAACTGCTTCAGATCTTGATCAAAGCCTCACTTTGTAAGAGTTTGCAAAATTGTTCCTGACTTAAACAATGACTGTACACGCACAGCCGTCCTTGAAGAGGAGACATCTGTACATTAGTCACAGGGCATAGGAAACCTAACAAGTCTGATCAGACACACAGCTCCATCAGACCTGGTTATCAGTTGTTGTTATCAGCCCAAAAGGCATACGAGGAGGGTTTTATTGTGACTTTGTGGCGCTTCAAAGCAGAAATTATCTTTATTATTATCCTGCTACTGCTGACAGAGGGTTCTAGATTCAACCATAAATGCTTAGCACGGCAGCAAAACAAGAGTGGAACTCATCTACCAGAGATGTATAAATCTGTTTCCACAATACACACCAAGAAGTAATATGTCAAGTTTGAAATGTCTGACACGCATTTCCCCCCCCCCAAACAGACAGTAATTAGAAAAACAGTTGAAAATGGAAGAACAAGATTTAACAACTGTCAAAGGACAGATCTTATTTTTCTACCAAACACTTTTTTTTGGTCTCACTCTCAAAAGGAACACCAGACTAAATGTATAACGGACATCTTTAAGTCACTCATGTTCAAATTGTTCTAAAAAAAAAGATCCTTTGCATATTCTCTGCATTTTATTTCAAGCCTGTATAATAAACAAAAAAAACTAGAGTTTGTCATTTTTGTTAACAGAGGCGATGAAAAACAGTTTTAAAGCCTCATGACGAGATCCAAAGCTCTCTTGTGAGGCTGAACTTCAGAAACACACTTTCTATTTGTCATTCAGAGAAACAATACTTTCCTGATTTGAACTGCTGATGAATAAGTGAAAACCTTTAGAAACGTCCCTAAAAAAGGCCAACTTTTGTAAATAACATCATTTATTAAATGAATTCAGACATAATATGTCGACATCCTGATACAGAACTCTTATTGCCATATTTAAAATATATTCTTCATGAAACTTTAAAATGTGTGGACACGTCCAGTTGAGTGATGAAATATCCATCATCATAATTCTAGGAATATTTACCAAATGAAAATATAACCAAACTATAATGCTGCACTGTAATCACAAAACAGCATGTAGCCAGCAGCCCGTGTTTGAATCAGCTCTTCATTATTATATCTAAGTTAGGATTTATGAAATAAATGGGCCATAAATGTTTAGATAAAGCAAAGAGGCACCACCATGCTCACACATGTACATTGTTTTGATCACTTTTCACTACTATTTAAACTCACACTACACAAGCAATTCAGGGGATTAGGAAAATTACTCCTGTTAGGTCCTAATGTTCTAATGAACTCACAGTGAAAGATGTTATTGTGTGTTTTGTCATGGAGCTGAAACATTATTTCAATTAAATGGTTTAAAATAGATAAATCATTTTTACATTTTCAGTGTGTGATCATTTGTTCTGTGTGAGGTATCACAGACACTGACCTTTGTGTCATCCGTGTGTGTGCCAAATAGCTCACTCGACACGCAAAGAGTAGAAAATGAGTTGTGTAGTATTGTACTATGTCATGTGAGAATGAAAATCCCCACGGCCCCTTCAGTCACCGACAAAGGCAAATAGTATTCCCTAAGCTTACAGATACTAAATCCAGAGCCAAGCAAACAAAAACAAATTGTGCCCAAATATTGAACTTTGGGCACAATTTGTGTCTTCATTCTATTTTAAATAAAGACACAAATTGTGTCTTTAGTATTTAATCTTTTAGCAAAAACAGCTGAAAAGGAGAACAAATGCTCCACAATCTTAAAACATTTTGCATGAGACAATTAAAAAATACCACAGATGTTATAAAACTCAGACCACACAGCAAATTAGTCATTTGTGCAAGAATTTTCAAAAACATCAATCATTTTATGCCGGTATGGCTGGGTAAGAAATTATTTTAGGAATCCGTTTACGCAAGATCAAGAAATAGAGATTTCGCAAAAAAGTGTTTCCATACACTCGATAAATGAAAACAAAAAAAAAAGTGGAATAGATATTATTATATTTTAAAATCAGGTGTTAATTGCTTCGCTGAAAACATTGTAAAAGTCCCATGGCTTAGTTGAGGGAAAACACAAACAGACGAGATGTATAGTATAAATGAAATACATTTTCAGAAAGAGGGCATCCAGAGGACACATTTACGTGTGTACGTGTGTATGTGTATGTGTGTGTGTATGTGTGTGTGCGTGCGTGCATGCGCGCGCACAAAGGGTTTATGTGTGTGCAAGAACTTGCAACTGGGCACAGTGGGTGGGGGCTACTGCAGGTGCTGGCATTTAAGCGGGTGTAAAGGTGTAAATTTAGTTTCAAGCACCTGCACAGTTAACACTGTCTGTCTGTGCCTAAAGGGTTAAAATTGAAAGGCTGTCACCCATTCATAAGGTGATGTGTGAGTGAGAGTGAGAATCGGAGCTGAGGGGGGAAAGGCCTCAGTGAGGAAGGAAGCTGACGGTTGACAAGTTGTAATGAGGGAAACTTCCTTCAGAGAAGAAGCGGGCAGTGAGTCAGACTGAAACCTGTCAATAACCAATCATCTGTCGCTTTGAGTCTGCAGCTCAATGAACAGTGACTGAAAAGAGAGGACAGGACTTTCAAAACCCAACACACACACCTAAAAACCTTTTGGTATAGCTTGTGCTATCTCAGCTTCATTGATTAGACCTCAATCAGAACACACGTGTAATAAAATACACACATGGAGAAGAAAGCAACAGCAGCTTCTTAAGTTAAGACTTCCAAAATTCATTTCAGAAACAAATCAAATGTGCAAAAAGACAACATGGCAAGGACGAGAGCTGATGCAATCTCATCAACTGATTTCAGTGTGTGTGTGTGTGTGTGTGTGAGAGAGTGAGAGAGATCAAGAGCGCATGAGTGTGTGTGTGTGTGTGTGTGTGTAATAAACAAACTCCCACCAGCAGGTGTGTCAAGGGCAGTTTCCAGCTGCAACCCCTGGCATCTCTACAAGGACACCCATCATGGCACCCATCAGCACCCAGACCCAGCACCAAGGCTCTTTCAGCTTACATCTAGCTCTTATTTCCAAGAAGCTCAGAATCTGCATGTGTGTGGGATTGAGAGATTTCTGTTTTCTTCTCTTTTTATTTCCAAAAGCAGCCTGCTGTGTCTGATGGCTTCATGATAAAACCGGTATCTTAATTCACAAATTAACCTAATGCCATTTGTAAATTCTGATGCTGTTTCCAGCTTGGCATAAACAAATCAGAATCAAAACCGTTTGATTGCCAAAGTATGGTGCACATACAAGGAATTTCACTAGGTGGATAATAAATACTGGCACAAATAAGTTTCCTTCGTGAAATCACTCTCATCTGTAACTCAAGCTCGATATTTTCTTTCCTCCCAAGACGTTTCAAGCTAATACACATTAGTGCACATACTGTCTGAGTGGTCTGACACCTGAAGGGCCTTATTTTATTGAAAGAATGAAAGGTTGGATCAGCGTAAACCATCTTTGGACACTCAGCAGAGGCCCTCTCTGTTGGCTTGAGCTCCCTATTAGATCAGGCAGGTCGGTAGGAGCAACAACAGTGTGTCATGAGAGAAAAAGCACAGGGGAGGTTTCTATGACAGACAAGAGTTCATAACGTCCTGTGAAGAAACTAGAACAAGTTCATGCCCATCGTCATCCAGTGGAAAAATCCCAGCCATGAATCACAATGTAGACTATAACGGCAGAGTGAGGAGGCCCAACGGAGAACATAATGTGACAAAGCCTCAACGTCTGCACAAAGCATTGCAAGCAGGATAAAGCAACAAGACATCTTCCAAAAAAGAAATCACCATGTTTAATTCAAAGCCACCTCTGACTCTACGTGACCTTCATCAGATTCACAAAGAGGAGAATGCAGATTCCACACAAAGGGACACGGCCACCGAAAAAAGGTCCGTCAACCGTCAAGTTTGGCATCAACTCTTTCATGTGTGATAGCTGCACACCCCACAGGGTACTTTTGGTGAGCAAATAAACACACACACACACACACTGACAGACACAAATTGAGGCCTACTCACCCGATGAGGGAGACCATCTGCTCCACTATGTGCCTGCTGAAGGTGACGATCACAAACAGTTTCTGTATGACAAAGAAACACACAGAAAGAGCGAGTCAGTTACTGAACCATGAGGTCACTGCTGGGGCGCAGAACAAGGCATCATGTGCATCATAGTTTGATCAGTAATTCTTAAACTCCCACTCTCACGGACAGTCTCACACACACACACACGCATCCTACCCATTATGCCCGAGCCAATGCCTTGTTCCGCCACTGCGGTTTGGTCTAAAAAGCAGTCATGAAGACGCCCTTCTGTCATGGAGGGCAAGAAATAAAAGGCTTAGGCTCTATGACACATGACCAACACAGTACACTAGGTCAGCATATCACACCAGAAGATAGAGTGTGTGTGTGTGTGTGTGTGTGTGTGTGTGTGTGTGTGTGTATAAAGGATTGGATGGATAGAGCAGTAGAGGAATCAAAGGAGATGTGTCATTGCTTCAGAGGGGGGCTGGAGGCCGGCTCCTGTCCACTCTGATTCCTGCTTAGTCATCGGGCCAGAAAGGCAACTGGCAGCCATTCTGGCTCATATCAGCCCTGTGTCCTCCTGCAAGGGGGCAGGGACATGCACCCAATAATTGACCTGATTATTTTCAAAGGTCCTATAAAAGGTCCTATAAAAGGTCCTTGAATTGTTACTGAATTCTTATAAACAAACATGCGTTTTGACCACAAAAAATGTGGTTTGATCCAGTAACATCTAGGTTGCCTTCAACATGCCATTAGAAAGGCTTAACCCAACAGAGCTTTTGGCGGGTCCATCATTACAAACTTATGTTGTGCAGAAAAGGATTGTTCAAACCCACAGAACCTTATTTTAAATTCTAGTCCAGATCCCAATGTTTCCAAAGATACTAAATATATACAGCCGAATTACAGGGACAAGTGTATAAAATGGCATATGAGATGAGACATCTAGAATTTTCCATTTTATGTAATGATGGAGCCATAAAGATTTCACTCCATATAAATGTGTCGCTTCAGTTTGTTTCACATTAAAAGATATATTCTACTGTTGAAAAATGTCTTATCTAACTTGGGCCACAATTAGTCAAATGTTATTTAGTTCCACCTTATTTCACTTGAAGTAGAATTGATCCTCATGACAATCAGAATATTCGTTCAAGATGCTTTTGCAACAGGCTGATACTGATCAAATACAATGAAACACTACTTTCTGACATGCAGATCTGTCTCAATTATGGACCTCCACTGGCTATTGAGTACTGAATATATTGATTCGAGGTTTTAAAGTGCAGATGCTGTAAACTGGCCTAATTGGGAGGATTAGAGTGACCACCAATAACTTCCATGGCATTTAAAAAACAATGAAAGTGTAGAATGGAAAAAAATGTAGAACATATACAGAGTAAAATAAACGAGACTATAAATGAAGTCCCATCAGTACAACACCCACAACGTCACAATGAAGATAACAATGATAACAATGGTTACAATGAAAATAACAATAACGATTTTAATTTCATGTGACAGCAGTCTTTGATCAGCTCTGTTACAGTGTTCTTTGTCAGGTTATGTAACAGACCATCTGGGTCATACATGTCCTTTGCTAGTCTTGTAATTTGTGTTGCTGTTCATTGAAGGTTAGACAGAATTAGTGAGTCGCAGTCAAACTGTTACGGCACAGTAAGTAAATCCCCTCATGACAATTTTAGTTATGCACCTAAATATTGATTTTGTGCACCCACATCTCTTCAAACGGCACTGAGAAATGTTATCTGTCGTCCCACATTAAGCATGGAGGAAGTGACGGCAACATGGCCGACACAGGGAAGCTGACTAAGAGGCCTTAAATGTCTCTGCTGGGGAACTGACGGTGACACCGTCTGCACTCGCTAATTTCAGTTAACTGATAACACTACAGCTACGCACATTCCAGTCACAACCAGTTTGACACACACACACACACACACACACACTCACACTAACAAGAGGGAAGCATTACATCATTTCCCAATCGTTTACAGAAAAGGAACACTCATTATCACAAACCAGCAGGTGCACTGAGTGAATTGGCAGTAATAAGGAGAGTAGTGCATCCTGCGTTAACGGTCGTGTTAACAAGTCAAAGGGTATAAAACATCTCTCTCATTTCTCTTTCGCTATATGACAATCCGTATCCTCTCACGCTCTTCTGTCGGACTGCTGTCTATCTCAAGGGCCCCACGAGATCTTCCATGACATCACCCATCATCCGCAAGTGACCTGCAGCATCATAAAGGCGCTGACGTTGTATCCATTCAAAAGTGGACATTCAGACGTGCGGCTTAGTGAGCATGAAAGGTGGAGGCAGGGCAGAACAAAAAAAGCCTCTCCTTGGAGACTAGTGAGAACACACCTGAATCACAGGTACAACAAAAAAACAAAACACGCTTTGAAGCATTGAGTTTTTTACGCACACACACACACACACACACACCACAAGCCTCAAAATCCCCCTTTTGTTCCCTCTTGGCTGTTGAGGGACACCGTCACCTGCTCTGCAGCGTGCTTTCCTCTAATACTTCTTGTTTTCTGCCCACACGCTGTAAACTGCAGAATCATTTGCATTAGAAGCAAAAGCTGAGCTTGAAGAAAATGAAACCAAGCAGCTACCGGAGAGATTGGGACCCCTGGAAATGCCGGAGAGCAGGGTGAAGTCTTTCTTTCCGTGAGCGAGGGAGGGACACACCTCTGTCACTGGGGGCCCCCTGGGACCCCTGGGTGTAATCCGGTACTGTTCCTGCCATGCATGCAACCCCCCACTCTCCCCCTCCCAGATCTCTCCCTCTCTCTTTCTCCATCACCTCCCACTGACAATGTTTATCAGCTTCAGCCTGTGCTTACTTGGTTCGACCCCCCACCCCACCTTCTTTCTCAGTTTGGTACAGGACAATGCTTTCTGCATAAGATAAGGAATGAGGCTAAATGAAAAAAAAAGCTTTGCTTTTAACCCTTCCTCTCTGAATCACAGTGAGCCGATTCCAACGTTTGCTAAGAAAACAGAAAGTGGAGCCTCCGACGGTAATCACAGACATACTGCAAATTCCTGGACACAAATTGAGGATTTTCCAGGATTAGAAGGAACGTTTGGGATGCCAAGTCTCCTAACAGCACTTTCTTATTCAAGGGTAAGGATGTATCCTTTAGTTTCCCATAAATTCTCAATCTGCCGTAGTCTGACTGGTCTACTGTACAATGCACTGGGGGTGCAGCAGCTGCGATCACAAAATGGTTGACTCCCCCTACTTTGGCCTCACAAAATGGCCTCCTTGCTACCAGCCGACTACAGTACAGAGAGGCTTGTGCATGAGTGTGATTCAATGTTCAACACACTCTGCACCCTCTGAACAATATTAAAGAAAACAAATCTCAAACTTTGGCACAAACATGCAGTTTCTCTCGGAATGATGCGAGACCAACACAACTTATCCAGCGCTGTGAAAGGAGTGCTTTGCTGTACGCAAATCTGTATTTTCAGTTTTGGAGAAATCCCTCCTGGCCTTATTTAAAATAGATTTATTGAATTTTTACTGCAGCTCACCTGAATGTGCATTTTGATGACTGCTTTCCCAACGAGAGTTGCACCAAAAAAAGTCCAGAAGGGGACCAAAAAATGTCCACATGTTATTCCTGCCAGGTCAAACAAGGGATTGGGAATCTGGGGGGGAAACAATAGAGACGATAAGACTTGATATTGTGTAAATTCACCTCAAGAACTACAAAACAAACCACACAGAGAAAGTGCATGAAACAATGTAGCACAGCATTGAAATGTATTCCATCTGTATTCTACAGGTTCAAAGCTTGGTGAACAAGATAAAATGATTTAAAGCGTTGAAACGCCATAATGGGGATGAAGAATATGAAATATAAAGAAAAAGGTTTGACTTACAGAAGCACAGGCTAGAATCCCAAAGAAGCCGACCCTCTGGATGAGCTGCTGCACTGCTACTTTTGCTCGGGTGGCAAAGTCCTGAAAAAGAGCACAAGTGCGAAAAATGTGTGATTAAATGATCACGAGACACGTGGCGATGTGTAGCTGATACCGATCACATACTGTGTGCATCATTTAGACATTGCTTTATTTACAGGAGACATTGATTTTTACAACAAAGCTAATTGCAAAATAACAATAATTTATTATTCTAATTATTGTTGAACAGCTTCTATCAGACACATATCACATGGCCTTTACTGTATAAATACTGGACTATGTCCGACAGATTAAAACAGTTTAAAATGATTATTACGGATTTATATTTCACACGATAAATAATTCACAATTCATTTCTGGTACATTTCAGATTGATAAGTAGATTTGTTTGGATTCAAATAATAAATTGGGCTCCTGAAACATTTATTTAAGAGCAGTTTAGAGCAAAGAGGTTTTTTTTAAGCATTTCTGTGGAAGAGGGAATATCCCAGAAGTGTGTAAACTAAGTGTGTGTAGCCAGCTGGAATGATTTTTAATGAATGCTCTGAAGCCCATTCAAATGCCACATTAAATCAAACAAAACATTTTGGATCATATCCGAATTTAAGATAACATTTTATAATCAAATATCTGCTTTTAGGATTTCTCCATCATCTTCTGAATGTTGATGTTTCAGCTTATTTAAAAACTATTGTTGCTTACTGACATAATTTCTTTTCCATTTTATATTTAAAAACATATTAGTGTCCAAATGAAACGAAAAATGAGTGAACAGTCCTTTTTTAAAATCTCTGCTTGTTTTTAAATGAGAGCAAGCTGCAATTGGAGGTTTTTCTACCTCCTGTAAATGTGTCCCCATCAAAAAGTTGAAATCTATTATTGAACTACATAGATTACAACTGACAAGCAGAATAATTAGATACTCAGAAATTACACGTACAGCTGTGCAAACTGCTTTGAACATGAAAATACATATATTGGAATGAAATGTGCATCGAGTGATTTTCACTTAGTAAATCTTAGAATGTGTTTCTAAACCCTCTCAAGTTTCCGTGCTTCATTTTAAATGATAAAAAACTCTAAAACCCTGTCCCCAAACATGCACTTTAAAATATTTACACGGTTTTAATTAGAATTTTTCTACATTCACCAAAATAAATGTGTAAGTGATGAGGAGCTCTTGGTGAAGTAAGTTGCCTGCTTGTGTATATCTATCCCAAAAAAACATTTACTGACCTGAAAATGAACAACTTGTTAAAGGGAATATCTATTTATTTAAATGTTTGAATGGATAAGGTGGGTTTCACAATTAAATTAAGTCCTGTGCTCAATTCATGACCGTCCTGCCAACATAAATATCTTCATGTTCCCGGCTATAAAACCCAGATTCACCTGCCACAAACTCTAAAATAATTACAAGGCTCAACTGCTGCTTTATTCTGTGAAAGTTTCTGAACTGGTTGTAGCATGTATGTGTCCAACATCTAGTTCCAGTTATTAATTCCACTGTCACTGGGAATCTGTGAACAAGAGAACAGGCTCTGGTCATTCCAGTGACTCACAGATTCTTGCTTTTTCTGCTGGTCTTGCCCTATTCCCTCCTGACGGGGAACAAAAGCCTCTTTTCAAAGCAATGTCACTGATTTTTCCCCCAATATACCTTTTCTGGGAAGAGGAGCCGTAATCTGTTTGGATTTGGACTAAACTGTTCTGGGAACACAGTGGGGACGCAAAGGAAAGCCCTGATGCAGGACACTTCATATTTCTGGAAGATGCATTCAATATCTAGGTAATTTATGAGATGATTACTTCCATACGATACTAGATTTGCCATTGTTACATTTAAATGCATTGATTTTTGTACAGAAATTCTTTGATTCTGAGTGGAAATCAAAACTCTTAAAATAATCAAAGATACCGAGGACATAAAATATATTCGATACAAGACTTTTTATATTGTAGCCTTTAAGAAGTTAGTAATTTGATCTGTTGGCAGTATATATAGATTGTACAGCCAAAAACATCAGAACGGCTTTCATTCGTTATATTTGTCTGAAATTATCTTGAAGTTGTTGCACTTTTTCATGAAAACAAAATGTTTCTTTATTTGCAAAGTTAATGTAATAACTTTATTACCGCTTTTTTAAAATGCTGTTAAGTTCAAAATAGATCAAAGTTATTTTTAATTTTTATAAATGATATTTAAGTCATATTAGATTTTGCTGAAGCATTTGTTTGTTTTGTGGAATAAAACCTTAAATGTATGTTTACTTTATCCGTACATAAAATTGTGCTAAAAAATAAGATATTTAAATGCTTTAATTTAAATCAGTCTTTTACTGTAACACATTAGTATATTATAGATTGCTCTGACTCTATGAAAGTATGAAGAAGTTTCACATTAAAAGCATCTTTTTGTGCCTATTAAACAGAATAGAAGTGAATGTGAAGCACTCACAGTTAATTACTGCAAATACAACTGCTGATAAAAGAAATGTATGAAGGTTTTTGTTGCAAACTAAGATATCCTCTATTTAGGAAAATTCACACTTCTACTTTAACTGTTGATATGAACACATATTTATGTTGGTATTAAAAGGAACTTACAACTTAAGACATTTAGAAAATAGTTTATTTTTCCTTAACCAAATCATTTATGTTTTCTGATGTTTTTAATATAGCAAAGTATTTCCCATAAAATGCATCCAGCGCATTTTTGAATGAAACTCTCGAATAGTTAGTGGCCTGTGTTATTATTTTATGTTATGTTTAAGTATCCTCAATGAGTGTTTCCCACTGAAAGCATATTTTTCCGGCCGAAAATAATATCGAATCAACTGACAAAAAAACAAAAGCAAAAAGCCTATATTCATATGAAAATAGAAGAAAAAAAATGGTTTTCTTTTGAAAAGTAAGGCCTCAGTTTCTAAAACATCATATTCATTTCAACCAGGGGAGGGGGCGGGCAATACACGATCATACCTAATATGGTCAACAAAACCAGTACAGTGCTGATGACCATTTTTACGGGGTGCAACCAAGCGGATAGGAAACTTGAGAGACATGGGAGGTCGCCTAACAAGGTGGTGGTGGGGGGAGCAAAGGGACACAGAATCTGATTGGTTCACAATTTGAATTTCTGCCTGCACTGACGTCCAATCATGAAGGTTGCTGCTTGGACTTGCCTGTCGTTTTAATTCTAGCCTGTCCCTGTGTGTGCATACGTGTGTGTGGGCATGTGTGTGTGTGTGTGTGTGAGTTGCTCAGCTGGTGGGAGAAGGGAAGGAAGGAATGTGTATGGATGGTTTACAGCTGAAACGCTGAGGACTGTTGTCTGGACCGGGGACACCGGACGACTGCCGGTGTTGCAGTGCGGACAGAGCCCTGCAGAAACAATTAGTGGCATGGAGACGGCCTGTAAATCCCATTTATTTTGTGACAGTATGACGCATGCATTGTTTACATTAGGTGCCGTAGTTAAGCTATTGGCTCCCGCAATGAGAGCTGGGATGAAAATATCCCCGCAGCGTGAACAAAGGGTCCCTGAGGAGGTGAGGGGAGTGCGTACATGTGTGTGTGTGTGTGTGTGTGTGTGTGAACTTGTGACACTGTGATTTACTATAATTGAACTATGTACTTGGACTCTCTCTCTATTCTGCATTTCTAAACCAGGAGAAGCGTCTATCTTGGATGGCTGGGGTTCAGACATTCAGACTCTGCTGTTGGCAGCTTATGGAAAATCACCATCTTTGCTAGGCAGCTTGCCAAGGGTTGCCTGGCTCCCCCACCCCCTCCCACCCCTGTCACCGCCGGCCTGCAGGGCTGGGCTTAGCAGCAATTACATTTGGTAAGATCTTGTCAAGGGTGCAGCGTCATTAAAACTGTGGAGGTTTTGGTTCCAGATTTGGCTGAACGGCACAGATGCTCCACTCGCAGTCTGCACAGTCACCCCACATGGCGCCCAGCTCTGTGGGGAACTGAGCCCCATTTTATTTGAATAATCAAACTCCACGCGCTACTCACAAACCATAATTTACCGGTTTTGTGTCTTACTCTTTTAAATTAAATGGTACAGCAATCTGTGCATCGTTTCAAACATGATAAATGTGCCACATCTGTTTTGATTTAATCACAGCAAATATACCGTCGTTTATTTGATCTAATAAATGAGGAATAGCAGAATGTTCGTCACAATATTAGCATTTATGGAATTATGGCACCTGGAACATTAACTGAAAATTTGATTTAATTCTCATTTTCAATTCAAAAATAGATTTCTGTGGTTACAGTTGCCAGGTGATGACAGCTATAAAAAGAAATATTTACTAGATACAGAAACCCCCAAAAAATAAAAGGACTAATGTTTCTTTATTTTGTGGATTTACTGATATACTGTCAGGTTGAGTTTCAAGTGTCAGGATTGTGAAAGAACTATGATAGTGACATTGGTTTTATTTGGCTGTTTTATCATCTGAAATGCTTTATTGTACGATGTGATATTATTTTGGAAATGCTGGAAAGTTGGTCAGGAGGTTCTCTCATCAAAAAAGTGGACTTGTAGTGAAAAGGTTGACAAAGCAAACACTTTGTTTTCAGTAGTCTTTAGTAGTGCTGATGAGGTACAGAGTTCAAACATAGACAAAAAGCAGGCAGCGACAAGGCACTCTGCTCCATGTGGAAATTTAAAGTGTAAGACAAGGAAAAATCTATGCATAGCCTACACAAGTCAACACCCACGCACATTTTTTTCTCCCCCTCTCTCTGTGTTTTCTTTTTTTTTTCTCAATGAAAGTCTTTCACACAGAAGACACACATCTCCCAAAGCGGCCGTGAGCCCCCCGACACGAAGATGGCTAAAGTTCATCTCATTAACTCCTGACAAGCCCGCGCCTGCTCTCTCTGGCACAGGAAGTGGAGTGATTAAGGACTCCTGACGCAATAGAAGCTACGGCCCCCTTTCAAGAAAAAAGAAAAGCTACACATTCAAATCTACCCGGAAGCGTGCACGCGCAAGCAAACGCACACACACACACACACACACAAAAATGCACCCCTGAGTCCACGTTGACAAATTCTTTAACAAGCTGTGGTTAAAGGGAAGCTGGTTTTACTCTGACTCACCCCCCTCCTTTCAAACAGTTTACTGGAAATAAAGAGGGAGGAGGAGGGAGGGGGCATTTTCAGAGAAGTCACGTGACCGGGCCGGGCAAACCACAGCACAGAGAGCCTTTGAGTGCAGTAGGCCAGGGGGGAAGGCAGGCAGGCATACGCCCAGCGCAGATGGCCCTGATTTGAGTTACAGGAGATACAATCCTGGGAGTTGGCAATCAAGAATTCACAGCCTGTTAACCCCTTCCGTGCCGGATGTAAAAAAAGAACACAAGCCAGGAAATAACTACATTATCAAGTTACAAGCATGGACTCGGTCCTTGCAGGATCCTCCGAGATGGTCTGTGTCGATACGGAGGATTCCTCTACAGCGCACCGGGCGCTCTCGCACTGAGCTTAAGATTTAAGAGGGGAAAAAAGCTGATGTCCATGACATCAGCGTCTGGAGCTGTTAGAGAAGGCATGACTTCATTATTTTTGAATAGCTCTGTTGAATGAATGAGAAAAAAAACCCAGAGTGCTCTGCTGCCGTGCATCACGTGCACTTGTGGCAGGAAGTTGGCACGTGCAAGATGGGAGAAATACCACGGGGTTTAAATCAAAGCTCTGGCACCTACAAGCCTCTGTGACTTGAGCGGAGGGGACGAAGTCAGCATCTCAATCCAGCTCTGCTGCCACAGGGCGGAGTGTATGTGTGTGTGTGTTTGGAGGGGGGTAGGGTTGAAGGGGTAACATCCTTGAGGACAAAATTTAACCACTTCCACTCTGATACAAAACGATCCAACGATACCACAGTTTCTCCAATCCAATCCCAGTGGAGTCTGTTTCCACTTTGGCCTACTACTACTACTGATTTCCAGCTTTCAATCAAAACCTCTGACACAAATCCATAGCAGATGAACGCATCCGTGTCCACCTTAAAAGGTGAAAAAAGGGTAGACGGTGGGAGTGAAAATCAGAGAGGTGTTGCGGGATCTCCTTGAGCGAAAGAGGGAACCCTGAGAACATCCGAGTAATGGTAAAAGCCCTGGTGAGAGAAAAAATGTTTCCGTATGTGGCAGGTCCTCTCTGGTGATCGCAACCTGCCTCCAGATGCTGTCCAATCACACGAGCACACATTACATACATACACACGGCTGCCAGATATCATCAGAGAGAGAGAGAGAGAGAGAGAGAGAGAGAGAGAGAGAGAGAGAGAGAGCAATGCACAGTGGGAGACTAACGGAGTGCGTGAGAAAGAATAAGAGAAGAGAGGGACAGAAAAAGAAACAATGTCAGAGAGAGAGAGAGCGCGAGACTGAGGCTGTGTCCTGAGAGCTGCATGCAGCGTCACTTCTAATCTGCACTCGCAAGGATGCGAGACAAACAGGCGATGCTCCTCCTGCATCACACTGTTCGTTTGTTTGGATAAAGACACGCCGAAGCTCTTCGATGTTGAGACGATCATTTAAACAAAATCTCCTCTCCCCCCACGCCGCCCGTTTGTCACGCTCTTCCACCGCCTCTACTCTTTTCTGGCAGTTTTGGTGGAAAGCGCCACTATATCAGTAGGTGATGTCAGTGCTCCAGTCTCAAACATGTGGTCCGAACACCAGGACTGCTGTTGGTGCCAACCTGCCCAGCTGTCCACAGCATTAGTAACAGTGGAACTTTCAGCAGGTGCTGCTCCCCTGCACTTTGATAACCATCAGCACGGATTCTTCTCGCCACGTTTTCTTGTGACTTCCTCCAAATTGTTTCAGTATCAGTGTCTCAAAAGGTCTCTTCAGTTTGCGTGCTGGGAGTCGGCTAAACTATGCTGATAATGAATGAAAAATTGGTTGATGCAATATTTATCTTTAGAAGAACAACACTCAACTTACACACATACAGCACATCTACAGTGCTCAATGCATCCTTTATGAGTATTCAATGCTTTTAGGGATTCACATGCTTCTATTATTTTTTTTTAATGTTGAACTGTATACTTTGAAAAACAGTTTTATTAAAGCTAAACATGCTGTTTGGACCAATGTCTACAAAGTAAGGGAGTGAGTTTTGTAAGTATGTGATCTAGCCAAAGGCAAAATAAATGCAGTGACACCAGTGATTGAGCATTGGTGATACATTCTTTAACAAGACATTAATTGCAGAGGTTCCTAAGCAGGTTGATCTGGGAGAGACGAAAGGGAGAGAACCAATAGTGACAATAGTGGTGAAAATAAAACACATTAGAGGACTTTTTTTTTTTATAATTTCTCAAATTGGGATAAGACAGAGTGAAATACATTTTTGTGACATACACAGTAACTATTCCATATGTTCTGGCAACCGTGGCTACATTTGAATTAATGACTGAATATAGTTTGGGGAATTTCTTCTTCTAGTGACCAGAGACACACTTTTCAGGCTTACTGCATTATCAAAGACAGCTGGCAAGCACTGAATGATTCACATCTAAACTATGGCTTTACTGTTACTCATCCTGTCTGCATGCTGAAAAGTGAAATTAATACGAGAAACAAAATGAACGCTCCTCTGAATCACTCTGTAATCCCACATCTGGGATACCCTCATTAAAAAAAACTGGATTTATTTCCTAACAGTCTGGAAAAGTCTGCTACAGTTTATTTACAAATACAAGAGTAAATGACAGCGCTGTAAAGTTCAAAACCATTAATGGAAGAAGTTGTTTTTCTGCACTTGACCTGTCTGACTGTTTGACCCACACTGTTGGAGAAACAACAGCATTCCTAAAGGATGAAGACAGTCAGGACAGACAGGTCTGATGAAAAGCCTTTTCAAACCTACACGCATGTTTCCCTTCATTCCTCCTCCATTCATAAGCACAAGAGGGGTGGAAAAATAAATATTTACAAAGAGCTGTTAGGCATTGTTGAAACATTTGCAGGGTTGTTTGATATGAGAACTTTTTATTACAGGGGATTTCAAAACGAACGGAAACGGCAGGAACATTTCACTCAAGTGCATCATTGCTGTTCTCATAGTCATATCGTTGTGAAAGCACTTCATTCCCGCTGTGCCATTGAGACACTGAGGTGGGGCTTGTTCAGTGGTCAACACACACACACACACACACACACACACACACACACACACACACACACACACACACACAGGGTACAATGTGGGAATCTGGCACACCAAATTTCACTTCAGGGACTTTGCATTGGCCAATTTTAAAAATATCTAAACTAAAAAAAGATCAACACCAATAACGGAGGAATTAGAAATGAAATGGTACAAGGGCAATGAATGCAAGTGCAAAAGAGCAGAGGGGAGAGAATGAATTGATCAGGTAGATGTAAAAGTTATAGCTTTACAAGATGAGTACTGTGGGGTTAGAGGGAGAAGGAGGAAGGTGCGGGGGGGTTAGATAACAGAGGGGGATGAAATGACTGAAGATGAAGCAGGGAGCAGTGTGTCACCTGTGCAGACTGGGTCTGGTCCAGAATCTCCTCAAACCTCTGGTAGTCCTCGTCATCGGGCTCGGCGCCGGACAGCCGTGCCGCCCGGGCCATGAAGTATGGAGGAAGCTCTCCTATCGCTGTACCGGCACCCTGCTCAAACAGAAACAAAGACACACACATGGAATTTGTTAATTACTGCTGCTCAGCCTTTCAAAGTTCACTGTTTACAGCACTCCCTGGTGTTATGTGCTTCTGTAGACTGTTTTGGAAACACCGGCTTCTGTCCCAACATGCCAATAAATCTGAATTTAACATTTTAAGAAAGAGAGAGAGATTTTAGTTGTTATGTACAGTACAGGCTTTTATTGGTCTGAATTGTATTAAATTGCATTTAGATGCTGTGGCTGATTGTATTGCTTAAATATATATTGTTTATTATGCATTTATTATTTATTGTTAGAGTAGTTTAGTTGTAAAAATGCTATATTTCTCCAAATATCATGCCAATTATGATATCAACCACGTTACCATAGTTCCTGTGTAATATCAATATTCACTATCCATTGGAGCTTGCACTGCTGTACGTCTGGGCTTGTGTGATCAGAGCACCTAATGGGAATAAAACAGAAAGGATTTACGAGGACGAAAATCCCACCGATTATTCAGCGATCACGGATACATAAAACACAGGCCCAGGGAAGGTGGAAAACCAGATGCAACTTTTAAACAGCATATCAACACACTGCACCGCTAACTGCTCTGCTGAAATCTACTTTGGACATGTGGAATGCAGTGTTTCTGGAGAATTTAAGGAGTGCGAACAAGCCCAGGGGGTCTAAAGGAACCAAGATATCAATATCTGACAGCCAAAAGGAGCTACAGTTGTGTGAAAAAGTGTTTGCCCCCTTCCTGATTTCTTATTTTTTTGCATGTTTGTCACACTTAAATGTTTCAGATCATCAAACAAATTTAAATATTAGACAAAGATAACACAAGTAAACACAAAATGCAGTTTTTAAATGAAGGTTTTTATTATTAAGGGAAAAAAAAAATCCAAACCTACATGGCCCTGTGTGAAAAAGTGATTGCCC